TTAAATAATTATTTAATTTTAAATATAATGTAGTGTATTGTGTATTTATAAAGTGCATTTATTGTGTTTGGTCATACACCTAAAGCGCTTCACAATCAGGATGGGGGTCTCTCCACCCCACCACTAGTTTGCAACATCCACTTGGATGATGCGACGACACCAGCTATTGGTGGAGTGGAGAGACAGTGATAGAGCCAATTCGGTGGATGTGGATGATTAGGAGGCCATGATCGTAAGGGCCGATTGAGGGACTTTGGCCAGAACACCGGGGTTACACCCCTGCTTTTTACCAGAAGTGCATGACCACAGAGAGTCATTAAAATATATATATATATATATAAATAAATATATATATATATATATATATATATATATATATATATATATATATTATATATATAAAAATAAATATATTAATAAATTTATATATATTTATAAATATAAAAATTTCTTTGCCACATATATTTAAAATATATTATTTTAAATATATTTTAAATAATTAAAAACATATCGCCGACAAATAAATGACAAGAGTTTGTGACAAAAGCTATTATTATACTCAATATATCATATTTGTATTTCATAGTAAAATGTATGATGGTTTTTTCTAAAATAATGGTGGCGCAGTGGGTAGCACGGTTCCCTCACAGCAAGAAGGTCGCTGGTTCGAGCCTTGACTGGGTCAGTTGGCATTTCTGTGTGGAGTTTGCATGTTCTCCCCGCGTTCACGTTGGTCTCCTCCATGTGCTCCAGTTTACCCCAAACACATGCTCATGATTGTGAATGAGTGTGTGTGGCTGTTTCCCACTGATGGGTTGCAGCTGGAAGGGCATCCGCTGCGTAAAACAAATCCTGAATAAGTTGGCGGTTCATTCTGCTGTGGCGACCCCAGATTAATAAAGGGACTAAGCTGAAAAGAAAATGAATGAAACAAATGACCCGTACTTGTGAAAATATATTGAACTAAATAATAAATATTATTTTAAATATATTTTAAATCATTAAAAACTTATCACCGACAACTGCAAGACAAGATTTTGTGACAAAAACAGTATATATCGTATTTGTATATCACAGTAAAAATGTATGATCATTTTTTCTGCTCTAAACAAAACATTTATACAATAAACATGCTAAAATATATATAAAATAACACATTATTTGATTAAAACAGCATTTTTATGGCAAATTGCAGTGCAAAAACCTTCATATGCATGAACAGAAAGGAGCCAAATATTAAAAAAATATATATTTAAATCTGAATTTTTTCCAAAGCTCTTATAAACCCGTCTCCACTTGAAGCAAACAACTTCTCCAGCATGTATAAATAAGCGTTTCCACATGTTTATCCTGCGTTTCAGGCCACTCTCAGTCTTTTCACTGTCATTATTCACTATTGCAGAATGAATTCTAATAGCACGAAGCATCCGACCCGAGTGAATGAGCACTTGTGCTTCTAGAAAGCGCCGAAATAATTGCCACGGTCAGGCTTGGGTGGAGATGCACGGCCCACCAAAGATGAGAAACAACAGCTTGTGTTTCCTCCTCAAAAGCACAAAGAAGTTTGATAAATGACCCACGGTCAGCTCAGCTTTGGTCAGTTTGCTGTACGGCTGTCGTGTGGAATTTTAAAGAAGCTCTGTCTTCATTATGACCGACAGTTCAAGCGCATTCAGTACTTCAGGTATCTCTTTGTTCCTATAGTGATCATACACAATCTTTATTTTACCGGCTTTGATTAAATGCTGAATTTAAAGACCCAAGGGCACTTGAGCTCCGCAGTAATCACATGTGAGTGTTATACGACCCCTCAGCAGTCCACCAAGGACATGGTTTCACACCAAATATAATTAAACTTAAATATATATAGATGAATGATGGATCTGGAAAATGTGCCGCTTGTTCGGTCGCTCTCTGTGCGAGCGTAAATGAGGACACGTCTGCAGACATTAGTGTACACTTTGTTTTATTGCTGCTTGTCTAACATCCAGTCATGGTTGATTACGTTGGCTTGCCCTCAGGTGCCATTCTGCATGCAAACCAGCGGATGGCACTAGAAGTAGCTAATCATACACACAACACCCATTCACTCAAGCTCTTTCCCAAACACTTCACCTGATTATTTTGGACAGGCGTTTCTGATTTTATTCCTAGGAGACCTGGAGTACAAATTGAAACGTATGGGGGCATTGTGTTGTGTGTGTAGCTTGTATTCCTTACATTGTGAAGACCAAATGTCCCTACAAGTATAGCAATACCTGTACATTTTTTTGGTTCTCATAAGAAAAGAATGTCTCATAAATCACATAGAATTAAGTATTTAGGGGTATGGTGGAGTGGATATACAGTTCGTACATTATAGAAATCATTACGTCTATGGAAATTTCCCATAAGGTTACCTACAAGCGTGTGTTTGCATGTGTGTGTGCGCAAGATTCTGTTAGGTGAAATGGGCTAAAGCTATGCTATAAATATATATATATATATATATATATATATATATATATATATATATATATATATATATATATATATATATATATATTATATTATATTATATATAGCATTAGCCCATTTCTTTACATAAATATGGTATCTTACTAAAGCAACGCAAAATTGTTAAGAATTTATACAAAATGGTACCTATTTTTGAGAGTGTATGGGTGTTTCCCAGTGATGGGTTGCAGCTGGGAGGGCATCTGCTGCATAAAACATGTGCTGGATAAGTTGGCGGTTCATTCCACTGTGGTGACCCCAGATTAATAAAGGGACTAAGCCGAAAAGTAAATTAATGAATGAATGATACTTACTTTACATAATATAAAAAAGCTGAACAGATGTTTGATGCACTATGTCTCTGTTAATTGGTCAATTAATGATGTAAATGTGTACTCCGGGTCTATGTAGTTTATTTATGTTTTATATTTACACTAACTGGCCACTTTATTAGGTACACCTGTCCAACTGCTGGTTAACGCAAATTTCTAATCAGCCAATCACATGGCAGCAACTCAATGCATTTAGGCATGTAGACATGGTCAAGACGATCTGCTGCAACTTGAACCGAGCATCAGAATATGGGGAAGAAAGAGTTTTAAGTGACTTTGAATGTGGCGTGGTTGTTGGTGCCAGATGGGCTGCTCTGAGTATTTCAGAAACTGCTGATCTGCTGGGATTTTCACGCACAACCATGTCTAGGGTTTACAGAGAATGGTCAGAAAAAGAGAAAATATCCAGTGAGCGGCAGTTCAAATGCCTTGTTGATGCCTGATGTCAGAGGAGAATGGCCAGACTGGTTCCAGCTGATAGAAAGGCAACAGTAACTCAAATAAGCACTCGTTACAACCGAGGTCTGCAGAAGAGCATCTCTGAACACACAACACGTCCAACCTTGAGGCGGATGGGCTACAGCAGCAGAAGACCACACCGGGTGCCGCTCCTGTCAGCTAAGAACAGGAAACTGAGGCTACAATTCACACAGAATCACCAAAACTGGACAATAGAAGATTGGAGAAACGTTGCCTGCTCTGATGAGTCCCGATTTCTGCTGACACATTCAGATGCTCGGGTCAGAATTTGGCGTCAACAACATGAAAGCATGGATCCATCCTGCCTTGTATCAACAGTTCAGGCTGCTGGTGGTGGTGTAATGGTGTGGAGGAGATTTTCTTGGCACACTTTGGGTCCATTCGTACCAGTTGAGCATCGTGTCAACGCCACAGCCTACCTGAGTATTGTTGCTGACCATGTCCATCCCTTTTTGACCACAGTGTATTCATCTTCTGATGGCTACTTCCAGCAGGATAAAACATCATGTCATAAAGCGTGAATCATCTCAGACTGCTTCCTTGAACATGACAATGAGTTCACTGTACTCAAATGGCCTCCACAGTCACCAGGGCTCAATCCGATAGAGCACCTTTGGGATGTGGTGGAACAGGAAATTCACATTATGGATGTGCAGCCGACAAATCTGCAGCAACTGCGTGATGCTATCATGTCAATATGAAGCAAAATCTCTGAGGAATATTTCCAGTACATTGATGAATCAATGCCACGATGGATTAATGCAAAAGGGGGTCCAACCCGGTACTAGTAAGGTGTACCTGATAAAGTGGCTGGTGACTGTACATACTATTTGTTTTATGATGGTAGATATTTTCAAAATACAGCAGTTTAATCATAAAATACATGTATATTGCAATTTATCTTCATTTTCGATTTATGAGTAGAATCCACTGATCTATATTGAGGTGAGTTGCACTTTATTGTCCTTTTCAGGAAATGTATATTAGACTCACACAGCACACTTGTTTTAAACTCAGTACACATACAAAAAGACAGCATGTAACATTTACCAACAACAATGAGATTTAAGAGACCTTCAGGGTAATTTGCCATTTTAAACTGCTAATGGACACTGGTATAATAGAGTTCTTGTAATGATTACTTTTACACAAAGGAACTCTGTATCGCTTCCCTGATGGGAGACAATACTTCATAGATTGAAAATAAAGCATGATTTGGTTCTGGATTTGGATATATGTACTTCTCTACTATAAATCAGTAGTAGATTCAGATCTATGGTCATTATCTTTTCACTTTTTTAATTCAACACTACAAGAACAAGAGGTATTTCATATTTAAAAAAATTTCTGACAGATAAAATATGAAAAATAGACATTTACATACATTTAAATGTTTTCAGGGCATTACATGTTTGGCAACATGATTTTATGTTTTGTGATTGTTCTAAAAGATTTACATTTAACTCGAAGTCATTTATAAAATAAGGAAAGTTTGGTTTACATTGAGACCGCCAGATCTGTTTTGCTTGTTTTACATCATATTTGCATACAGAGAATTACAAGGGATTCCCAGTAGCCTGCTCGTTGGCTTCCAGATGTGCGCATGCGCATCACGCACCCACACGCCGTGATTTTTGACTTTCCCGGGCCAAAAAAAAAAAAATCCAGAATCCTGTAAGGATCCACGCCTGCTTTTTCACGGACCAATACACACACACACTACAAGGCTCTCCAGCAGCACCACACGCCGTGTGCTTATGTTGGAGACTCCACTGCGGTTCCGTTAAATCTGTTGAACGCGTCTTTTTCTCCGCGCGGTCACAAACGCACACCGGCGCGTCGGAACATATTAACGTTAGCAGCCGCTGCCGTTTTGGGTCGGCTTGTGGATTGAATCCATGCCTCCTTTAAAAGCCCCCTTCGGCTTTTTAAGTTCAAGAAAACACCCGGACTCTTCAGAGGATCGCCTTTGACTCTTTTACCGGAGATTTAAATGTTTATTTTTGGGCACCGGCGGAGGTGCGCGAGATCTTGCCGGTTGCGGACAATGTTCGGCGTTTTTTAACGAAACACCTCGTCTTTTGTAACTAGTCTGTTAAAAAAAAACTTCACCTCGGAAAACACCGTGGATAACTTGTACGCGAGGTTGTTTTTTTCTATTTTCTTTTTTACCTCGGAAAGTGATGGCGGAGCGGGAGCAACGGCTGCTCGTGTTTTTCACAAGTCTCATCGTTCTCCGGTTCGGCGGTGCGGATAAAGGTAAGTTACGCCGAAATCCCTGCAAATTACAACGTTTAACCGGTGTAAATCATATGCGTTTGTTTGTGCCAGCTCATTTAACCAGTGTAACCATTCGCAGTTCTTCCTGCCAGCTCATTAGTATTGATTTCTATTCTAATTCTGCAGGATTCTGTAGCCTGGTGGCTGTGTTTCTGTGTTTTAAGTGTTTGGTAAAAGCTTAAAGGTTTAATTGTTCTTTGGGCCATTCATTTACTTGATGTTTAGTAACACACATGGTGTAGTACCTTTAAGTAATTGAGTAAACGTTAACCTAAAAATGAAAAATCATTTATTTATACTTGTTCCAAACCAATTTCAGGGTTTTTTTTTGAAGCGCAGAAGAAGATATGTTGAAGAATGTTGGAAACCTCTAACCATTTGACTTCATATTTAAGTCAATGGTTATATGACGAGTTCAGAAGCTAAAGTCTCTAAATGCCATGATAAATCTTCTAAATTCAGCACTTTTTGGATTTTTTTCCTGTGTAGTTTCAAATATTTCAGTGTTATGGTGATGAATAGGTTATATTCATTGCATTTAAAGACAAACAAAATCATATAAACATAAGAGATGAAGAAAAATTATCATTTTAGAAGAACACTTGAGATAGCTTTTAGAGGTTTTTGCATCTGAACTCTTCATATGTTTTTAATATATACATTTAGTAACTCACTTGGTGTAGCACCTTTAAATGCAAGTAAATATTCAACCAAAAATGTAAATTTTTTAATTCTTACTAGTTCCAAACCAGTTTTAGGGGTTTTTTTTAAGCGCAGAAGAAGATATGTTGAATAATGTTGGAAACCTGTAACCATTTGACTTCTATAGTAGGATAAACGCATAGTATGAAAGTCAATGGTTATATGAGGAGTTTAGATGCGAAATGCCATCAGAAATCTTCTAAAATGAACACTTTTCTATTTTTTTCCTGTGTAGTTTCAGATGTTTCACCGTTATGGTGATAAATGGGTGATTTCCATTGCCTTTAAAGTCAAATAACAGCATAGAAGAACACTTGAGATGACATTTAGAGGTTTTTATATCTGAACTCTTCATATGTTTTTAATATTCTTCAATATAAATGTATTTTGTTCATCAGAATAAAACTGAAAAAAATTAGATCAAGTATAGAGTGAGTAAATAATGACAATCATTATTTTCAGGTGACAATTCCGGTAGACTTCAAGAATTGATCTATACACCAGATTTAGATACTGTGTTTGTGGAAAAGAAGAGCACCCTCATTCATCCATATGCTGCAGAAGAAGGCACGAGTATGCTCTTAACCTCACCTTAGAGAAGAGCCGTAGATAAGAGCATAGAGGCTAAATGATGATTGATTGTTGATGGTAATGACAGGGTCATGCTCAGACATTTGGGAACCTTTTACCTATTGGGAATGATGAAAGGGAATTTTTGGCTGACTCAAATGAAGATCTGTTCCCTCAGCTGCTGCCACTGAAATTGCTGTGAGGTGAATTTGTAAAACGACACCTCTGTAACACCAAATAGGGCTTGAGAGGCAAGATTTTTGTCCTTATTTAGTTAAAATACTCAGTTCTCAATTGATGCCAACATGAAAAGCAGATAAAAGGGATTCTTTAAACAACAATCAGATGTATTTATTGTTCAGGTTATGGTTGCAGCCGGGATTCTTGAAAACCCAATGGTGTATGCTGTTTAGTCTTTGTCTTGTCTGTGATTTTAAAGCAATCTAGATAGGGTTTGAATGGTGCTTTGTACATGTGGCCAGTTTCGGGTTACTAATCATGGCTGCGCACTGAAAATAAGTTTTTGTTTATTTGAAACACATTTCGCTGAGGTTTCAGACGCGCAGAGTTTAAAGCCAAGCCACAAGTCCTCTCTCAAAGATAGTCTGCTTGTAAACTGACTAATCACAATGCTTTATAGAGTTCTGTGGATCTTTTTTTGTTGGTGCTTGGTGGAAAAAGTCTTTTTGTGAAGTCTTGTCAAACTGAATTAGTCTCCGCACTTGCGGTGCAATGCTAGTTTATTTCAATGGGAATCGCAAACGGCTTTAATGCGGGACACATTTTTAATTCAGAAACGGTTGGATGAAGTGAAACAAAAGGTGTTTTAAAAAATTGAACTTGTTCTTTCATCAGTAGTGCTACCTTCAAAGATGGCTTATTTGTAGGCTGTTCACAGACATTTCACAGAATGTTTTATAGGGATCTGCAGAGTAGTTTTCTTCTTGAACTTGATGGAAAATTCTTGTGAGGTTTTGTCTAACAGAATCAACATTTCCTCTGGTCTCTTTTTAGGTTTAGGGGTGCATTTATTTGACGACAATGGATCTAAATTAGAAAGCTTTTTCTTTTCTTAAGTTTCATGCATTGATGCATTTTATACATTGTAAAAATAATCTATTAACATGGATCCATTAAAATGAAACGCGTAATATGCATTAAGGCTGCACAATATATTGCTTCAGCATCGATATCACAATGTGGGAATCTGCAGTGGTCACATTGCAGGATCTGCAATGTCAGGTTGGGATGAAATTAACAAAAAACATGCGTTCATTAATTTTCAACCACTTTCCCGGAGTTGAGGGCAGCAGTCTTAGGAGAGAACCCCAGACTTCCCTCTCTCCAGTTACTTCTTCCCTAGTCCCTCCAGCATGTCCTGGGTCTTTCCCGAGGTCTCCTCTCCCTAGGTAGGCATTCAGGAGGCATCCGAAACCGGTGCCCAAGCCACCTCAGCTGACTTCTCTTGATGTGAAGGAGAACCGGCTCTACTCTGAGCTCCTCCAGGGTGACAGAGCTCCTCACCCGTCTATAAGTGTGCGCCCTGCCACCCTGCAAATAAAACTCATTTCAGCCACTTGTATCCAAGATCTTGTCCTTTCGATCATGACCCATAGATCATGAACATAGGTGATGAGAGTAGGAACGTAGATTGACTGGTAAATCGAGAGCTTTGATTTTCGGCTCAGCTCCTTCTTTACCACAACAGACCGGTACATCGACCGCATTTCTGCTGCCTCTGCACCGATCCGCCTGTCAATCTCACGTCCTATCCTTCCCTCACTCGTGAACAAGACCCCAAGATACTTGAACTCTTCCACTTAGGGACTTTCCTCCAACCTGGAGATGACAAACCACCTCTTTCCGGTGGAGCACCATGGCCTCGGACTTTGAGGTGCTGATTCTAATCCCAGCCGTGTCACACTCGGTGGCAAACCGCCCCAGTGCATGCTGAAGGTCCGTGTTTGATGAAGCCAACAGAACAACATCGTCTGCGAATAACAGAGATGAGATCCTGTGGTCCCCGAACCGGACACCATCCAGCCCCAGGCTACGTCTTGAAATTCTGTCCATTAATATTATGAGTAGAATTAGTGACGTTTAATCCTAAAAGAATGACATTTTTTAAATTTCTGTGTTTTTTTTTTTGTGTATGATTTCAAATGAATTTGAACCATTTAGGCTCTTGAATTTATAAAAAGTGTTCAATGAATATTATGTGAGAAATTATATTCATATTATAATATTTATGGCAGATAAATAAAAAAACATCACGTCAGTTTTTTTTCAATGTCGTGCAGCTTTAATATACATGCTAGACCAGTTGTTGCCCATGCCACTTCGTATAGAGAGACTACACATCTGTGTACATGTGCATTTAGGTATACACAGTTTTTGTAAGCTGTGTTGTTCTTATGGTTGTCAAGTACTCATGCATGCCTATAGATCAAAGACAATATGTTAGTGCACAACATCATTCTCATAAAATCATCTTTTTAAATTGTTTTCACAGAGACCGTAACCTTTTCTTCTTTAATAGTTGTATTTGACAAACCACCAAAATGGCGTAAATTTAAAAGCAGAGTTCATAAGAACTAATTAAAAACAGTGTTTTTTTGAATGGGACTGTAACCATTTTCAAGGTATACCGCAGTTTGGAAAAGGTCCTAAAATCGGCAAAATGTTCAGCTAAGGTATGGGTAAGATTTTTTTTTTTTTTTATTAACGTTTTTTTTTTGTTGTTGTTTTTTAGGAAAACAGTATCTCCAGCAGAAAACGTATCCAAAGATGCCGTTTTAAATTGCAAAGAAATCAGTGTTTTTGAAACTAATGAAGACAGCAGAAGTCAACGATTCATTTTAATTATTTAGCCTGACATGTTTACTGCTTCAAAATATTTTAAATGTTTCTTAAAGTAAAATATATTGTGTTCAATGTGGAAAAAAAGTTTTAGTTTATTAATCAGACATTTTAAAAGAACATATTTTAGAGCAGTAATCTCAATACCGTGATATTTCAATCCAAGGTTATCAAACTGTCAGAATCTTATACTGGCCCATGCCTATTCGTGAACATGCTCTAGATTCGACACACAATAGTTCAGTATAACCAGGGTTTTTCCTGCATATAAAGAACTACAAGGTGGCTACCTCCATCAGATTTTGTACCACCTCTGCTTTTTGACAGAAATCTGGCTAACGTCAGACCACAAGTGACGCTCATGCACTGGTCATGTAGTTAAATACATTTAATGTTAACCTTTTATTTTAAATAACATGATTAAGATAGCGAGAATAATACAAAATGTGTTTGTTTCAAGTAGCACAAATTTCACGACTGGGAAAAACCCTGGCATAACCAATTAAGGATGGACTTGTGTCAACATTTCGTTTGCTCTAGCTATTGTATTGTCAACGCAAATAACATTTGGATTGGGAATCAAACCCTTGGCAAGCAAACTTTTAAATTACAATGGTAATTTTAAATGCGACTGTTTGCTATGTTCATGTTTTTTTTCTGAATGAAACCACTTTTGCTGTTGGATTGAAAAATAATTAGCAAATAAAACTATTCTCTGCCATTATGCATGAACAAAGTTTGTTACAAGAATTCAGTGGAAACCAAGTAATGCACATGATTTTGTCTAATCCAATTCTTTAGTGAAATTTGTTGTAGGATAATTAAATTGATTGAGGCTAATGAAGGTT